GATCTGGACCTGCTCAGGCCTGGTCCAGCAACTGCCTCCTGGAGTTTAACCCCACCAAGTGCAAAGTCATGAAAATTGAGGAAGGGCAAAGAAAACCGCAAAGTAAAGGCTAGGGAGCCAAAGACTGCAAACCTCGCTCAAGGAAAAGGATCTTGAGGTGAATATAATACCGAGCAGATCACCTGAGGTGCACATCAACCAAATAACTGCTGCAGCATATGGACGACTAACAGGCTTAAGAATAGCGTTCTGACACTTCAGTAATGAATCGTTCAGGACTCTGTACACAGTGTATGCCAAGCCCATACTGGAGTATGCAGCACCAGTTTGGAACCCACACCTGATCAAGCACGTAAGGAAATTAGAGAATGTGCAAAGGTTTGCAACGAAACTAGTCTCGGAGCTAAGGAGCATGTCCAACGAGAAGAGGTTAAGGGAAATTGGCCTGACGACACTCGAGGACAGAAGAGAGAACGGGGACATGATAACGACATATTAAATACTGAGTGAAAATGATAAGGTGGACAGAGACAGGATGTTCTAGAGATGGGACACAGCAACAAGGGGTCACAATTGGAAGTTGAAGACTCAGATGAGTCACAAGGATGTTAGGAAATATTTCCTATGTCATACAGTTGTCAGGAAGTGAAATTGTCTGAAGAGTGATATAGTGGAAGCTTTAAGAAGAGGTATGATAAAGCTTATGGAGCAGGGAGAGAATGGACCTAGTAGCGACCAGTATTGAGGCGAGGCCAGGAGCTATGACTCGACTCTGCAACCACAATTAGGTGAGTACACACACCACCACACACACACACACACACACACACACACACACAAGAATTAGACTACAAGCCAGTGTCACTGACAAGCATAATATGTAGGGATGTGGAGAAGATTATCAGAAGAGCAGTGACGCTCCTGGAGAGGAGCGAATTCATAAACAACATCCAACACGGTTTTAAAGATGGCAAAACCTGTCTCAAAATTCTGCCATATTTTTATGACAAGGTAACGAAAGATATACAGGAGAGAAAGGCGTTGGATACCAGGTATATTTCTGGACTGTAAGAAGACATTCGATCCAATAACTTAAAAGAAACTGGGACAAAAGCAAGAGAAGCAAACAGGATTAACATGGAATTCACTATAATGGATCAAGGAATACTTAACAGGACAAAAAACAACGAGCTATTGCCTGGATAGTGGGGTTCCACATTGATTAGCATTAGAACCAGTACTGTTTCCTGTGCAGTTTTAAAGGACATTGCAGAAGAAATACAGTCAGAGGTGCTCTTTTTCGCAAAAGTAAATATTAAAGAAAGAGCAGACCAATAAACGTTGTAAATGTATCTTGAAAAAGAAGAGAAAAGAAGTCTGGAAGCAGGTTACAAAGGCTGTAAATAGTACGCCACAATCTGAGGAAGTTAATGAACCCAACTATGAAACGTGAAGAGCGCAGAATTGGGAACTCAAGAGGCAACTAGAAAAGGAAGGGGAGCTGAAGTGAAAGAATCAAGGAAGGAGTGGACCGACAGGAAACTGATGATAGCAGGGCTTAGGTACAAGATGGAATAAGAGTGGGGGGGGGGGGGAAGTTCAGTGACTTTTGTAAAAAGATGAGGAGAGTGTACGGAAGGTATCTACAGAGAACATAGATTTGGAGAGAAGAGCTACAGTTCCTGAGGCTAGGGAACAAAGCCTGGAAGAGGATGTGAGGGAGCTGAGAATAACTAGAGGAAATGAAAGGAAGGGGGTAATGAAATGGGAGCAAGAGCAGTAATTAGCAGGTGAGGAGACAGAAGGAAGAGAAGAGCGGGAGCAGAAATACTCTCTGGCAATGGGGAAAGCACAGATGATAATGGGAACAGCGAAGGAATTGCTCAAAACACAGAAATCTGGAAGGAATGAAAGTGGGAGGAGAAGAAAAAGAATGGGTCATGATGAAAAATGATGGTAGAGAAACAAGGGTTTCAATATATCATCAAACTTACAGGTGGAGTGACCAAAGTGAACCAGAAGACAAATTTTCAGACTTGGAAATTACTCGGGAGGCAAAATGTGCCCATTCAAAATAACTTTCAACAGTATAGCACGAGACTGGATTATGCAACAGAAACCAAAATTAACGCACACAGAAAAATTTCAAATAGTGTACCTCGACCTGGACAGAACGAGAAAGGAGTAGGAACAATAGAGAGAATACTTTAAAGATGCTAGAGGCGGGAAGGGGAGCCAGGGTAAGCACTGACAGGTGTGGAACCTCTGCCTCCAAGGAAATACCATTCACACCCACCTCCACTAGAGCCTTAGTATTTTTCTCACTCAAACACAATAGCCCAAAACAAACTATTCCTACTCCCTCCCTACATCCACAGCCTTTACTTGTCTAGAGTCCAAGATCCTTCCTCAGAACACCAGTAACTCAAATCCCAAGACTCGACTCTCCCTTAAACCCCAACCTCCCTATCCTCACCCATTTAATCCAAGATACTGACCCCTTTCAGTACAAGAAACCCACCTCCCCTCCCTTAGCTCAAACTATACGTTGCCTCCAGTAACGCTGACTCACGACTCACGTGCAAGGACCGAGAGTTCAGGAACTCGAGAACCGGAACACAGTGACATAAAGGAGTTTAAAATATAGTACACAAATGCAGATGGAATAACAAATAAGAGTGATGAATGGAATAAACGAAATATGGAGACATATCCAGACGTTACATTACTCATACAGGCGAAGCTTACAATGAAGACAGATGCGGTCTTGGGTATCAGATTTATGAGAGAAGACGGAGAGAATTGAGGAGGTGGAGTAGCAATGCTCAACAGAAACAGAGCTTTGAGATGAGAAGAATAAACAATGAGGAAGCAGATGACAGAATAGTAGACACATTTAAGACAGGGGCTCCAATGGTGATGATAGCAGTGATGTACAATCCTCCATCAAACACCAACATACCAAGACAAGAATATAACAGCAACACAACAATGGTTAATACAATAAATGAGGCGTGATCACGGAAGACTTTAACCACAAAGAAATAGACTGGAAGAACCTGGAGGCACACGGGAACCAGAAACGAGGAGGACTAAGATGCTGGAGGTTATAATGGAAACTTCATGCACCAACAATATAGGGACACAACCAGAGAGCAAGAGAGAGAGAGAGAGAGAGAGAGAGAGAGAGAGAGAGAGAGAGAGAAGAGAGAGAGAGAGAGAGAGAGAGAGAGAGAGAGTCAGAGAGAGAGAGAGAGTAGAGAGAGAGAGAGAGAGAGAGATAGAGAGAGAAGAGAGAGAGAGAGAGGGAGATAATGACCAGCAAAACTGGACCTTGTATTCAACCTGAGTGATACTGACGTAGGGGATATAAATATGAAGTTCCTTTCAGAGCTACTGACCACATGGTTCTGAGTTTCGAATTCTCTGAGGAAGTAAATTTGTAGAAGCAACATTGTGAAGGACGAGAAAAGAGAAACTCAGAAGAGGAGACTACACAGACATTAGCCAACTAATGAATAAAGTACAATGGAAAAGAGAACTAGAGGGGAAGACAGTGAAGTGTTGGCTTATGCGCCCAGCAAGTTCCGGAATGTAGAGGAGAAAACTCATACCCAGGAACAAGGGAGGCAATGGGATAAAAAAGAGTGAGCCCAGGGTTTACCCAAAGGTGCACAGAGATTAAAGCCTAATGTGTTAGAGCACAGAAAAAAATGCAGATGGTAAAAAACCTATAAAAAAAGGAATTGAGCAGATTCAGAAATGAATATGTACGAGTAAGAAGAGAGGCTCAATGACAGTTTGAGAATGACAGCACTGAAAGCCAATTTTGTTATATAGCCACATCAGGAGGAAGAAAACAGTAAAAGACAGAAGTACTGTGTGAACCACTAACAACAATTTTCAACATTTCAATTGACTCAGGGCAGCTACCATAGGTGCGGAAGATAGCAAATGTAGTTACAATATTTAAGAAAGGGGATAAATATGTATAATTAAAATGTGTATTATTAACTATAGACCAGTGTGCCTAACATGCATAATATGCATGCAGGCACAACTTATGGTTATAGTTATTATTATAAGAAGATAATAGGAGAACATTAGTGTAGCATCTAAAGAGGAATGGATTCATAACTAACAACCATCATGGATTTTAGAGATTTTATTTCCTGTGCAAGTGCAAAATAATGAAGATTGGGGAATAGCAAAGAAGACCGCAGACGGAGTACTGGCTCGGTGGGCAAAGGCTGCAGACTCCATCAAGAAGGACCTCGGGTTTGAGTACTGAATCAACCAGACATATCGCCCGAGACTCAAGTCAACCAAAGAACTGCTGCAGCAAATGCTATCTTAAAAAATCTAAGACTAGCTTCAGAAATCTTAAGTACGGGGTCATTCACGACACTGTACACACCGTGTACGTCAGATCCAAATTGAAGTATGCAGGAACAGTATGGAACCCGCACGTGGTCAAACATGTCAAGAAATTGGAGAAAATGTAGAATTTTGGAACGATTCTAGTGCAGGACCTAAGGGATGTGTCCCATTTGAAAAGAGATAATGGAATTAACCTGATGAAAAGAGGACTAAGGGTTATATAACAACGTACAAAATACTGAGACTCAATAGGGTGGACAGGGAGAGATTGTTTAGGAGACAGGAAAGAGGAACACAAGGGCACAACTGGCAGCTGACAATGCAGTGACAGATGTTTAAAAGTATTTCACCACTCTAGTCAGGAAGTGGAACTACCTGGGCAATGGCGTGCTAAAGGCAGGATCCATACATAGCTTTAAGAAGAGGAACAATAAGCCTCTCAGAGACAGGAGAGTGTGAACTCAGAAGCGGTTAGCGAAGAGGCGGGGCCAGGAGTTAAGACTCGAACCCTTGCAACCACACACACACATTCACACGCGCCCACACACACACACAGATAATAATAATAATAATAATAATAATAATAATAATAATAATAATAATAATAATAATAATTACAGACTTGGTGCTGATCGTGGATAAATTAACGCTGACGCCTGGTTGCGGAGAGATAACAGCAACGTGGTCTTACAACCACGTGTGCTGGGCAGCAACCCACTTCATTTTGAAGATAGCATCCCCTTTGAACTATTTCTCCACGAAGGATACAAGCGTCACATCTCATGTCTTCAAAGATCTGAATTTGGGCGAGTATTACACTGTGAGCGTCATTCCCTTAGATAAGGACAATTTCCCCGTGGGATATGAAATTGGCAAAAATGTCTACACTCTTAAAGGTAGTAATCTCTGAACTTTGTGATGGTTGATATATACAACTATAGCTTGGCTGCGAGAATGGAACGTTTGAAAAGCCATCCCCGGCCGGGATTGAACCAGGCGTCAGAGAGTCTCAAAACTCCAGACCGTCGCGACGGTCTGGAGTTTTGAGACTCTCTGACCGCGGGTTCAATCCCGGCCGGGGTATGGTTTGTTTGCAATCGTGTCATTACGATTTCGTGAGTCATAGAACGTTTGACTCACCATATTGTGCCATACAGGTAAAACTTGCGATTTTGGCTTAAATTTCAGCGCTTCTCTTTGCCGAAAAAGACAAGCGAAAATTTGTGTATACAATAATCTCGCAAAAATCATTCTGAACCTAACGAAAAAATATATTTCATTATGTTTGTTTATTATTAAATTATTGTAAACTTATCTAAAATATATTCAGCTAGATTATGCTAAATTAAATTGCCCTTGTTATAATAAGATTAGGTAAGTTTTCGAAGGTTTCTTTCGGTACAAAATTATTAATTTTTACATTAACATAAATGTAAAAATATAACGTATAAGTAAATATAAGCAAGTGTAAGAGAAAATTTTAGAAAGAACTTAAATTTAAATGAGTTCTTGCTAACTGACCAGTTTTACATATTCGGCACGACATATATATAAAATATATATATTATATATATATATATATATATATATATATATATATATATATATATATATTATATATATATAATAAATAATATATATATATATAAAATATATATATGTTATGTACTAATTGATTATAAAAGTAGCAAATATTATATATCATATATATATAGTTGTGTAAACGTAATAAATTATATGAAGATAAGAAAACTCAGGGGTGAGTTTTAAAGAAAATTTGCATCACTTGTAGTGAGGAGTATAAGTTAGTGAAAATGTAGAATGTAAACCTGTTATCGTTGATTTAGTTGTGTAGAGCGTAAAAGGTTGAAATGAAGATAGATAAGAGTGAAGGGGATGAGTTTGGTAAAGAAAATTTGGATATCACATTGGAGGGAAGGGATGTAGAAAAGGTGACAAATGTTTATACGTATTGGGAGCAACCTGTTAGCAATGATTTAGAAGGACGAGGTTAACCATAGGATTTCATGAAGGAGAAGTGTGGTGTGCGTTGAGGTATCTGTGTGAGAACAATAAAAGGTTATTCAAGGAGGCAAAGAAGGGAATGTACGAAAGTACGGTAGTATGGAAGCATGGGCTGTAAATTTGCAGCAAGAAGGAGGCTGGAGCAGTAGAGATGTCGTGGTCTTGGGTATTGTGTGGTTATAAAATATTATGGCAGAGTAAATTGTAGTGTGGAAATGTGGGGAGTGTAGGAGTTAAAAGAGGGCTTGAAGACTGGTTGTTGAGGTGGCTTTTGTCATTTAGAGAGGTAGATCAAAATAGGAATGAACTTTGTGGGTGTATAACTCTGTAGTGGAGGGGAGGAGTAGGGGTCGTCCTATGACAGGATGGAGGGAGGGGGTAAAGAGGGTTTTATGTGCAAGGGGCTTGCAATTTATTTTATTACCCAAAACATAGTTTTTATGGGACCTGTCTGCTGTTCTAATGTGAAGCAGGTAATTTTTTGTAAAGGATATTGGAAAAACGATCCTGGCGGTGCGTAATACCATTCCTGCACTTTAAAAGAAGGGTTTTGAAGATATTGGGCTGTTTGGAGAGTAAAACATCAGATGTTCATATCTGGTGCCTCTGCAGAGACAGTGATTTTAGCGTGCCCTGTGGCTGGTGGCAAAAATCCTCACTTCACACGCTGAGGGTCCGGTTCGATTCCGGCAAAGGGTGGAAAACATTTGGGGGTGTTTCTTACTTCATTGTCCATGTTGCCATCAGTAATATGGTACTGATGGTGTGGGTCGCTCCTGGGCAAAAAGTGACCTAATTTGCCGAAATGTCCTGCAAAAAATGCTTTATATTATAAGTTATGTATATTATTGACGTCAGCCAGGCCGTATACTTGTTCTTGTAAGAAATAAAGATATTTTATTATTATTGTGTGAGTGATGTTTTTTTTAATGCGTTTCTTTTTGGGTCACCATGCCTCGGTGGGAGGACGGCATGCATAAATATATATATATAATATATATATATATATATATATATATATATATATATATATATTATATATATATATATTTATTATATATATATATATATATATATATATATATCTATATATATATATATATAAATATATATATATGCAAAGCAACCACTGTGAAAGAAAGAATTAGTGAAAGTCCAAGCGCTTTCGTCACTTCTGATAATGTGAGTAGTCACGAAGGGCGTTTGAAATTTCACTATTTTCACAGTGGTTATTTTCATATTCTGGATATAACCTATTACTGTGATCTCATGTATATATGTATGTGTTATATATTTATAATTTATATATATATATATATATATATTTATTATATATATTATATATTATATATATTATATATATATATATATATATATATATAATATAGATATATATATATTTATTATATATATATATATATATTATATATATATTCTATGTATGTATAAGTAGGGAGAAGGAAGGCGGGACGAGGTCGTCGCGATACAGGATTGGAAGGAAGGGGTAAGGAGGTTTTGTGGGCGATTGGCTTGGACTTCCAGCAGGCGTGCATGAGCGGTTCGATAGGAGGGATGGTGACGAATTGTATTTGGGACCTGACGAACTGTTGGGTGTGAGGCAGGGTATATTAGTGAAGGGAGTCAGGGAAACCGGTTATTTTTATATAGCCGGACTTGGTCCTGGAATGTATATGTATATATATATATATATATTTTATATATATATATATATATATATATATATTTTATATATATATATATATATATATATATATACTTATTATATATATATATATATAATTTAATAGGTCGTGACGAATAGGCAGAATTGCGATCTTGCTTAAATAGGCAAACGCTCATCTTGCCATTTAGGACAAGCCAAAAATTTGTGTATTCAATAATTTCGCGAAAAATCTTTCTTATACCTAACGAAAAAAAATATATTTCACTGTTTGTTTAGTATTAAATTATTGTAAAACAAATTAAAATATATCTTAGGTGGTGAGGTAAAATATTTTGTTTTGTTTTAAGATGTTAGGGAAGTTTTCTAAGATTCTTTTGTTGCAAAATTAAATTTTTTACATTAACATTAATGAAAAAATATCTCTTTAAAACGAATAAGGGAATTTTAGAAAGGTTTTAATTTTAAATGAGTTCTTGCTATTGACAGATTTACATGTGCGGCACGACAATATATATTATATATTATATTTATATATATTATATATATTATATATTTTATATATCTATAAATATATATATATATTATATTATTATATGATATATATTATTCTATATATAAGTAGTGATGATTTTACAGAGTGGTCCCACGATTACGGTCTCACGGTCGGTCTCCTCTCAGAGTCTCTCCGAAAGGTCTGCGGCTGAGGCGGTAGCTTTTCACACCTTTATGCTAATGACCACCTCCCCCGACCCCCACCACGTCCCCCACCCATGACCCCACCCACGACCCCCCACCCTCGGACCCCCTTGACCACTCGCCCTCAAACCACACGACCCCACCTTGACCCCACCACGACCCCCGCCCGCGGGGGCCGCCTGCGCCCGCCCGCGCCGCCGCGCCTTCTGCTGCGTCGTCCGGATGCCCCCACCCCCCCGAATTTTTTCGATTTTTTTCAATTTTTTTTTAATTTCTTGTGCTCTCCAATTCCTCGCATCAAGTTTTTCTCGATATCAATAATACAAAGACTCCACTTCCTTGGATCAAGTTTTTTGGGATTCCCCCTCTGTGGGTATGCATTCAAAATGGACTCCCACTTGCATCCCAAATTCCCTGCTCCAATTTCTCGGATCAAGTTTTTCTCGATATCAATAATACAAAGATTTCCCCCATCATTCACTTCTACCCCAAAATTTCTCCTCCATCTCCTTGGATCAAGTTTTTCTCAATAACAACTTTTTGAGGTTCTCCTTCCCACTTTCACCCCCATCCCAAAATTTCTGCTCTACTTCCTTGGATCAAGTTTTTCTCGATATCAAATAATACAAAGACTCCATCTCCTTGGATCAAGTTTTTTTAATTCCCCCCTCTGGGGGTAAGCATTCAAATGAACTCCTCCTATGGGGCATGGTGCTTTCTCTTACTACAGGTCTTAACAAGTTGTGACGTCACCCCACCTGTGTTTATCGGCGGCGGTCAGTGTCCGTAGCAATGACCTCACTACACAGGCTGATCTTGTGACTTCCCCCTATGTCAGTGACGTCACGTGATGACCCACACACAGGCTGAATCTTGTCGGCAGACAATAAAATGCAGAATAACACTTAATAACAATAGTTTCATTTATTTATTCATACATAATTGCATTTCTTATACATCCAACAAAAAAATTCATTGAAAAAAGGTACCAAGTCTTTGACTAATATCAACATATTTTTCTCTTGAAGAAATTCTATGGCATTTTTGTTCTGGATCTTCTTCGTGTCACCATCTCAGTATTAAACATTTCATATACAACAATTATAGGGATAACAGTACACATTTTGACTCTGAACCCAGGATAACCAATAATTCCATTTTTCGTTAATACACAACAATTCACAATTTCTTGACAAAAGATTTAACTCTCCTCAAGAATCTAGATAATTTTCTCGTTTTAACTATTTCATCTGAAAAAGTCCGGCGAATCTTAACTGAACGATCTCAGATAACATATCAGGTCATCCCCCTCGAAGTAACCTTTCTCTTACCCCTTCCTCCCGACTCCCAAACCCTAACACTCCCACAAACTCTCACAATTTTCATCATAACCGCTTTTTTTGTTTTAACTATTTCATCAGAAAAGTCACACAAACACTTACCACTTATAACAACTTTTCGATAAAAGTCACTAGTCACAATTTTACATAT